ATCTCACTAATTAATGAGCGCCACACATGTTACCAAATCTGGCACCTTTTGCAGCAGAATCAGAAAAGTTGTCAAAAGACAACAATGCTCTACTTATAAGACAGCCTGCTCAGAACTAAAGTAAATTCTTTTGGTTTGGCCAGTTATGTTATTTTGAGGTTTCTAGGCTTTCCCCATTTAAAAACTAATTTATGTAGTGAAAATACAAGATGACAGAACTAATGAGATCCCTTTAAAACAATAATAAGAGGAAAATGCATAACCTAAACACTTGTTTCAGTAAAAATTAAAACAAATGAATTAAATTCCCAATTCAAAAAGACAGAAAAAAACTCCCAACAAAGTAAAAAAAATGAGTCACAAGGAAAGAAATGATAAAGATAAAATCAGAAATTAATGAAATAGAGACTAGGAAGGCAATGGACCCATGGAATTAGAATCCTGCTTTTTTGAAAAGTTAACAAAATAGACAAATCACTAATTCAGTCAAGAAAAAAACTTAAGAAAATCCAAATATAAAACTAAGAAATTACAAAAGAAAAATAACTATTAAAAGAATTAAAATTTTAAGAATTCATGAGACTACTTTGCAAATCTCTATACAAATCTACCCAAAAATATAAATGAAATAATTGCCTGGAAAAGTACAGTTTACCAGAATGACCCCATTAGTGACAGAAAGCTTCAACAGACCAAGTTTTTCATAGTAGAAATAAAGAAAATTGTCAAGGAATTTTTCCTCAGGCCTAAAGAGTTTCACAGGAGGTACAAACCTTCAAAGACTAGATAGTTTTAATACTGGATAAATTCCTACAATGCACAGAAAATAAAGTCAAACTCCAAATTATTTTTATGAAGGAAATATAACTATGATACTTAAGCAAATATCACTTAAAAATATTGATTGGTGTAGTGATCCTAAAATAAACATTAGCAAATAGAATCAACATGATATTGAGAAAATAAATTCAGTATAACTAGAGGGACTTATTCCAGGAATGCAAGATAAGTTCAATATTATAATAAAATACATATTAAGTGATCTGTGAAGTCATCTAATTATTACATTGATGATGAAAATGCCTTTGAATCCAGCATTTATTTCTAATAAAAATTATCATGAAAATAGGAATTGTTGGATGTTTCCTTATTATGATAAAATATATAAAGCTTAGTTCAAAGCCAGCATCTACTAAATGAAGAATCACTGGATGCATTTCCACTAAGATCAGGAACAAGGCAAGAGTGCCTATCATCTCCAGTATTATTTATTATTGTACTGGAGGTATGAATGAATATAATTAGACAAGAGAAGTCAATTAGAGGCATAATAATTGGAAACAAAAGGTAAAGCTATTTGCAGATGATGTATACCTGGAAAATCTGAGAGAATCTATTCTCAAATTAACTCAAGGAAGAAAAGAATTAAGCAAGTTAACAGCATATAAAATTAACATAGAGAATCCAACAGTCTTCATATACATAAAAACCAGTCAAAAGAAATTATAATGGATAAAACCCAATTCATAATGGCATTAAAGAAGATAAAATGCTTAGAAATCAATTTAATAAGATGCAAATCCTATATAAGGAATATTTTTAAATGTGCCAGAATAATACTAAAATAGGCATGAACAAATATAAATAAATACAGTCCTTGTTCTTAGGTAGAATAACTCTACATCATAAAAATGTCTTTTCTCCCATATAAGTTCATATACACGTAACACAATCCTCCAAAAAAATAACACCAAATTTTTTATGGAGGTAGATAAATTGATACTAAATTCAGGTGGAAAAATAAACATGCCATAATATCTAGATAACCAGATATCCTAGGGAGATTAAAATATATGTGGGAAATTCAGCATCCACTCATGATAAAAACTCTCAACAAACTCTTTCAAACATATCTCAACATAAGAAAGGCCCATAGCTAACATCATACTCAATGGCCAAAAGCTGAAAGCTTTTCTCCGAAGATTCAGAACAAGACAAAAATGACCACTCCCACTACTTTATTCAACATAGTACTGAGAGTTCTACTTATAGCAATCAGACAAGAAAAAGAAATAAAAGGCATCCAAATTGGTAAGGAAGAGGTAAAGTTGTCAGTATTTACAGATGACATGATACTATATACAGAAAACCCTAAAGAGTCCACCAAAAAAACAGTAGGATTAATAAATGAATTCAGTAAAATTGCAGGTTATAAAATTAATATACAGAAATCTGTCGCATTTCTATATACAAATAATGAGCTGGCAGAAAGAGAAATTAAGAAGTTAATTCCATTTACAATTGCATCAAAAATAATAAATACTTAGGAATAAATTTAACCAAGGAGGTAAAAGACTTGTAATCTGAAAACTAAGACACTGATGAAAGAAATTGAAGAAGACACAAATAAATGGGAATCTATTCCATGCCCATGGATACAAAGAATTAATATTGTTAAAATGGCTATACTGCTTAAAACAATCTGCAGATTCAATGCAATCCCTATCAAAATATCAATTGCATTTTTCAAAAAACTATAACAAATAATCCTAAAACTTCTGTGGGACCACAAAATATTCTGATCTTTGATCCAAAAACTCAAAGCAGTCCTGAGAAAGAACAAAGCAGGCATATCATATTCCCTGATTTAAAACTATACCACAAAGTTGTAGTAATGAAAACGGTATGGCACCGGTATAAAAACAGATACATAAATCAATGGAACAGAATAGAGAGCCCAGAAATAAACCTATGCGTATATGGTCAATTAATAGATGACAGAGGAGGCAAGAATATACAACGGGGAAAGACAGTCTCTTCAATAAATGGTGCTGGAAAAACTGGACAGCTACATGCAAGAGAATGAAACTGGATCACTGTGTTACACTATACACAAAAATAAACTCAAAACGGATTGAAGATCTAAATGTAAGATCTGAAACCATATAACTCTTAGGCAAAAACATAGATAGTAAACTCTTAAACAATGGTATTACTAATTTATTCCTGGATATGTTCCTCCAGGCAAGGGAAACAAAAGCAAAAATAAACAAAGAGGACTACATCAAACTAAAAACAGCAAAGGAAACCATTAACAAAATGAAAAGGCAACCTACAGTATGGGAGGATATATTTGCAAATGATATACCCAGTAAGGGGCTAATATGCCAAGTATATAAAAAACTCCTACAACTCAATACCAAAAAACCAAATAATTTGATTAAAAAATGGGCTGAGGACCTGAACAGATATTTTTCTGAAGATGATGTAAGGATGGTCAACAGACATATGAAAAGATAGTCAACATCACTAATCATCAGAAAAATGCATATCAAAACTACAGTGAGGTATCATGTCATACTAGTCAGAATCGCTAATGTCAACAAGAAAAGAAATAACAAGTGTTGGTGAGGATGTAGAGGAAAAGGAACCTTCCTACACTGCTGGTAGGATAGTAAATTGGAACAGCCACTATGGAAAGCAGTACGGAGGTTTCCCAAAAAACTAAAACTAGAAATACCCTATGACCTAGGAATTCCACTTCTGGGATTTTACCCAAAGAAAATAAAATCGCTAATTTGAAAAGATATATGTGCCTCTATGTTCACTGCAGCATCATTTACAATAGTCAAAATATGGAAGCAACCTAAATGTCCATCAGTAGATGAATGGACAAAGAAGATGAGGTACACATATACAATGGAATGTTATTCAGCCACAAAAAACAATGAAATCTTGCCATTTGCAACAACATGGATGGACCCAGAGAGTATTAGCTAAATGAAATAAGTCAAATGAAGAAAAGCAAATACCGTGTGATTTCACTTGTATGTGGAATCCAAGAAACAAAACAAATGAGCAAACAAAACAGAAACAGACTCATAGACACAGAAAACAGACTGGTCGTTGCCATGGGAATGGGGGTGGGGGATGGGTGAAATAGGTGAAGGTGGAAACAAGTTAGGGACAATGTTCAAAATCTTGATCTAGGTGATGGTTACAAGAATGTCTCCGCATGTCAAAAATGCATCAAACTGAACACTGAGATTTGTGCATTTTAAATCATATACCTCAATTTTAAAAAAAGGTGGAAAGTCTAGTCCTACCAGATATTAAATCATGCTATGAAATCTCTATATTAAGATAATAAGGTCCTAGGATTTGAATAAACAAAGAGATAAGTGGAATAGAATACAAATCCAGAAAATAAATTCAAGTACATATGGAAATGTACTATATAATGAAGTGTTATCTCAAATCCCTGCAGCACAAATGGTTGGTCTCTTTAATAAAAGAGTGCTAGACAACAACTGGGCAGCTAGAAAAAGGATAGCATTAGATCTGTATCTCACACCATCCACACAAATAACTCCAAATTTAAGAAGAAATAAACATAATAAGTATTAGGAGAAGACACAGGAGAATTTCTCCATAAACAGAAAGAGTACAAATAAAATAAAAGATCAATAAAGTACACTATATGAGAGTTTTAAATTATGAACATGGTAAAGAAATGATTGATAATTTGTTTAAAAATATGTTTAAAAGGATTACTATATATATATATATTTTTTTTCTCTTACCTCTGATTAAGTGCATTCCTAGGTATTTCTTTTTTCTTCTTTTTTTTTATTAAGGTATCATTGATACACACTCCTGAGGTCTGCTCTGTTCTCGAGGTGTATGCAGTCTCATGCAGCCTTCTTTCCTGTTGCTCTTTGAACATTCGTTGTATTAACTATATTTTCATATTATATGTGGTTTTGGGAGGAGTTGTCTGTCTCACCTCTCACGCCGCCATCTTTAATCCCCCTCAAGGATTACTATATTTTTTATCCAAAAAGTATTAGCTTAGGTCAACTGCAAAAGTGATCTTTATTTGTTATAGAAATAAGCCACTTAAAAAGTTTCATTTAAAAAGAGCATGGTGGAGAGAGAGAACGTGACCTGCGGGAGGGCGGGAAGGCCTTTCTCTGCATTAGTACTGGCTTCAGCTTTACCTTCTTCAGTTTCTTATGGGCGCCGCTCCGGTTGCCCTGCGCCAGGTCAGCCCTGCCCAGGAGCCGGTATGTCTCTGCCACCTCGGGACTGAGATCTCCAAACACTTCCACTTTGGCTTCTAGGGACTCTCTCAGGATGGAGGTCGCCCTCTGTGAAAAGAACAAGAAGCTGTCTGGTTAAAAAGTTCAAAGACGGATAAAGATAAATGCTTCTCAATAAATATGTAACTATGTATATCTTCACTTCTTAGGGGGATTGTTTGGGTAAGGGTCTCATGAACTGAGCTTACTTTCTTCTTTAAAATAGGAGACAGGGAATAACATATGTGGGGAAAGAAGGAGTGAACTATGAAGATAAAATGTATAAAGGACATCTGGAGGAAAAAACCCACGTCAGATACTAAAGGAATGCATTTCAGCTGAGTAGTAAGAACAGAAGCTAACATGTATCACATTCCGCATGTGTCAAGTACTGTGCTAAACAGTTTACATGTGTGCTCATGTAATTATCACTGTCTTCTTTAGACAAGTACAATTTTAATCCTCATTTGACAGAGGAGGAAACTGAGCTACAGAGCAGTCAAGATAGTCACCCAGACAGTTTATCAGTGGTGGGCCTGGGATCTGAATCAGTCAGTAATTTTAATCCTTTTTAGTAGCAGACTCCTCTCCCTCTCTGCACAACGACTTTCTTATATAAGTGAAAACTAGTTTCCTGGCAATTTATCTACTTACAGAACATCTAGAACTTATCCCAGGGTTTTCTGTTTCTCATAAGAAATAGCTTAGGAAACCAAAAGCAAACATTACAACATGGTAAAAACTTAAATATCTTTGACATTTTGTTTGGCTAATCTGATTTATTTACACCAACATGGAATAAAAAAACATGAGTTGGTCAGAAACCAATCTCTTCAGATATTAATCTCTTCAGACAGACACCAAGACGTACAAAGGGAAAATCCTGCATGTCCATCTCCCACATTTCTCCTGATGGATCTCCTGATACATCTTTTCTTAGGTGGGAGGATGAATCACTGCTCGGGCAGAGAAACTGTAAATTGGGAAGTATATGACCCACCTTTATATGTGAGGGATGTGATTAATGCTAAAGCCCATCCCCATCCTTCAGAGTGCACCCCCTCCCACTGTCTTTGAGGAAGGACTTAGCATGGTGCAAGGATTGGATTTGGCAGCGTTTCTGTGGAACTTGGTTGCCAGGCTTTGAGGCGCCAATGATGGAAAGAAGAGCCAGAGTCCTTTTTCTAAATGAAGTGTTCAAGGCCATTTATAGCCTGACTGGGGAAACTGGAGATGGATGTGCATGAACTTGAATGGCATGTCGAGATGGCAATGGAAGAGATGCCACATAGGTTTAGAGAAAACAGACTGTGTCAACCTCTGAGAATCAGAAAAGCTGAGTGGAGAGGAGTGAAGAATACACAGGTTTGAGGTGGGCTGGGAAGGCATGGGGAACCGGGAGCAGGGGTGTGAGGAGGGAGAAGCCCATGGTACACTGAGGGCCTAATTGTGATGGTAATAATCACAGCTGCCAGTTACTGAGCCCTGGTGCTATTGCAGGGCGCTGCTCTCTGGCTGTCAGATACACCTTCCTAAGACTTCGTGAGAATGAGTAGATACCACCATCATCATCATAAATGAAACCAAGTTGCAGAGAGATCAGAGGGAGACACCTTGGCCCATTACTCTGCCAGATGCATGGTTGGTCCACAACTTTAGAAAACAAATCTCAAGAACCCAGGTCTAATCTATAAGTCAAGATAATTTCCCCCGAGTTAAAAAGGTGAGTAACTATGGGAGAAAATCACCTGGAACGGCCTGCAGAAGACCGCTTGGAAAGACTAGTGAATCGCGAGGTAGGAACGGGGAGATGCAGAGTGCTCATGCTGAGGGTGGATCTGACTTTGATGCAGCCCAAAGCACTCCGATGGTGGAAAAGGTACTAGAAAGAGGCTCGGAAACTCTCAAAAAATAGCAAAAAAAAAAGAAGAAGAGAAGAAATAGGACTTAGGTGGGCTGAGAAGAAGCCATGGGGATCTTGGGATCACAGGTGGGAGGTGGGAGAAGCACACGGCACACTGAGGGCCAGCGAGCGAACTAATTTGCAGCAGAGAAAATAATGGGAGCAGAGGCGGGTGAGGCAGGGTTCCTGGCTGGGCTGGCAGCGGAGGGCCGTTGTGCTAGTCTGAAGAGTTTGGATTTTCTTTTGGGAAAGAAGTCAGAGAAGGTTCTTGAGCAGGAGAGCGGCACATCTAAGAGATCAACTCACACAGTCTCTTAACCTGCAGCAGGGTGACCTTCACTTACATTTTACCTCAAAGGCATTTTCTTCCCCACAGATCACCTTCCTGCTGGCACAGTGTTCCAGCCCATGTGTAGGCTGTGACCAGAACCGGGCGGTGTGAGAAGAGCCCTGTGCTCATGCCTGGGGCTGTCCTTGTCAGCCAGCCCTTGTCAGCCAGCTCCTGCCGGAGCCCAGGGTGAAAGGTCTACCACCCAGAGTGGGCACTGGGCAGGGCAGCTACATTCGGATGGACGGGCTGTGCCATGCGCAGGGGAGCAGAGGGAGGAGGGCTCAGCCCTGGCCTGTGGTCTGCTCATCAAGCAATGTGCTCTGGCACAGGCTGCGCCCATCGAAGGGGCAACTTCTGTTCTTACAAGGACCCTGGGAGGGCTGGCAGCGGCCTTTGCATGAAAAGAGCCAGTTTGCCAAAATCTCCAAGGGAGGCAAGATGCATCTCTAGGTCAACACCACCGATCTGGGTGACTTGGGAAAGGCAGTGAGGCCTAACATCGGTGGCAATGGACACCAAGACAGGAAGCCAGACAGGAATGGGCAGGAGAGGGCATGCCCTGTGGTAGCCAGAACCACCAGGTGGCCCCCAGCCAAGCATGCATCCACCCATATTCTCATTGCTCCTCACGAGGAGCAAGAAGGTCCCTGCTCTCATGGAATTTGGTCTAGTGGGGGGAAGACAGTAAACATCAGCTATTGCAGGGCGCTGCTCTCTGGCTGTCAGATACACCTTCCTAAGACTTCGTGAGAATGAGTAGATACCACCATCATCATCATAAATGAAACCAAGTTGCAGAGAGATCAGAGGGAGACACCTTGGCCCATTACTCTGCCAGATGCATGGTTGGTCCACAACTTTAGAAAACAAATCTCAAGAACCCAGGTCTAATCTATAAGTCAAGATAATTTCCCCCGAGTTAAAAAGGTGAGTAACTATGGGAGAAAATCACCTGGAACGGCCTGCAGAAGACCGCTTGGAAAGACTAGTGAATCGCGAGGTAGGAACGGGGAGATGCAGAGTGCTCATGCTGAGGGTGGATCTGACTTTGATGCAGCCCAAAGCACTCCGATGGTGGAAAAGGTACTAGAAAGAGGCTCGGAAACTCTCAAAAAATAGCAAAAAAAAAAGAAGAAGAGAAGAAATAGGACTTAGGTGGGCTGAGAAGAAGCCATGGGGATCTTGGGATCACAGGTGGGAGGTGGGAGAAGCACACGGCACACTGAGGGCCAGCGAGCGAACTAATTTGCAGCAGAGAAAATAATGGGAGCAGAGGCGGGTGAGGCAGGGTTCCTGGCTGGGCTGGCAGCGGAGGGCCGTTGTGCTAGTCTGAAGAGTTTGGATTTTCTTTTGGGAAAGAAGTCAGAGAAGGTTCTTGAGCAGGAGAGCGGCACATCTAAGAGATCAACTCACACAGTCTCTTAACCTGCAGCAGGGTGACCTTCACTTACATTTTACCTCAAAGGCATTTTCTTCCCCACAGATCACCTTCCTGCTGGCACAGTGTTCCAGCCCATGTGTAGGCTGTGACCAGAACCGGGCGGTGTGAGAAGAGCCCTGTGCTCATGCCTGGGGCTGTCCTTGTCAGCCAGCCCTTGTCAGCCAGCTCCTGCCGGAGCCCAGGGTGAAAGGTCTACCACCCAGAGTGGGCACTGGGCAGGGCAGCTACATTCGGATGGACGGGCTGTGCCATGCGCAGGGGAGCAGAGGGAGGAGGGCTCAGCCCTGGCCTGTGGTCTGCTCATCAAGCAATGTGCTCTGGCACAGGCTGCGCCCATCGAAGGGGCAACTTCTGTTCTTACAAGGACCCTGGGAGGGCTGGCAGCGGCCTTTGCATGAAAAGAGCCAGTTTGCCAAAATCTCCAAGGGAGGCAAGATGCATCTCTAGGTCAACACCACCGATCTGGGTGACTTGGGAAAGGCAGTGAGGCCTAACATCGGTGGCAATGGACACCAAGACAGGAAGCCAGACAGGAATGGGCAGGAGAGGGCATGCCCTGTGGTAGCCAGAACCACCAGGTGGCCCCCAGCCAAGCATGCATCCACCCATATTCTCATTGCTCCTCACGAGGAGCAAGAAGGTCCCTGCTCTCATGGAATTTGGTCTAGTGGGGGGAAGACAGTAAACATCCACACATATACTTACTCCATGTATTATTTTATTATTGCATTGTTACTATACTACACTTAGGTCAAAAGGATGCTATGATGCAGAATGATAGGGAGAGTCTAATGAAGAGTGGGGAGAGGTATCAGGCAAGCTGGGGTCCTGCAGGAGGGATCCACATTAGCCAGGAGGTCAGTGAGGAGGAGCCTTTGTCAGCAGAATCCAGAGCGTGCAAGGTATTGGGGGCCACACAGGATTCTGTTTATGAGCACTGAGAAGCCACTCTTGGAGTATTTTATAAATGTGGGTTCACTGATGAGCTGTGCCTTTTGAAAAGTTCACCATGGCTTCTTATTCAGAATGGACTAGAAAAGGGCAGGACTGGGAACAGAAGCTGGGGGACTGCAGTTTGAAAGTGTGGTCTAGGCAGGAGCTGATGGCTGACCGAGGTGGGGACGGCAGCAACAGATGGATTCGAGGAATATTCGGACTGATAAGCTACAGGGAGAGGCAGGAAGGGGGCAGACTACCCCGCCACTGAGGCTTCTCACCCGAGCACTCCCCACAAAACCCTAGAGGTATTCTAGAACCTGAGATCCTCGGAAGGCCCCTGTCTACTTGTTGGGTGATTCAGAAAAATATGGAAACTCTATTTGTTATGGTTACTATGGACCTTGGCCTGCAGAAGATGGGTGTGTCCAGACTGAAAACCTATATTCCTTAAGCTCACGTGGGTTGAAAGAGGAGAGAGCTGGTGAGGGGGAGGTCCACAGAACAGCAGACGACATAAGAAGCTTTTCATTTCAAAGATTTGCCTTGAAAAGTTGAAAAAACATCTACCTGTCTACATAAATCAAACCTTAGCATGTAGCTTTCTGGTAACTGTTGAGTTTTGCATGGAATAAATTCCCAAGTGTTTAGTGACCAATGAGTATAAACTCTGGGTCTTGTTCCATGTTTACAAGCCATGGAAAGCATGTCGGTGTGGGTCAATGGACAGTGATCTGTAACTTCTGTAGTTCTTATTGGATATGTAAAATTTACCTATCACTCAAATAAGGAGTGAGGAATTAGACTTATTAACTGCCACCCTCTAACCCAGCCAGAACTGCAGGCTGTGATAAGCAGGGTCTGCTCACTGGTTCTCAAGGTTTCTAGTCCTTTAGGACCCTTTGTAGGTGGACATGGCATCTACATTCTCATAAGCAGTTGTTGTTCCCCAAGAGCAAGTACTGGGAGCTGCCCTAGAGGGGCCACCTGGCCTTATGAATCCCCATTCCCGTGGAGCCTGGCCCATGCCTGGCTCCTAGCAGATGCTTAATGGAGGACTTCAGAGTGAAGGAGCAGCCCGCTGGATATTTATACGGGCCTCCCATGTAAGTAACTGGTCAGCTGTGGTCCAAACTCACCTCTTTTTGTCCAGTGACTTGTAGAAAATGGCAATAATCATCCTGAATGGAAAGAAATTTGGCTTTTCCCATCCCTTCAGCATCCTTAAGATTAGACATGCTCTCTTGAAAATGCTGCTCAGCCACATCTGAAGAAAAGCATCATAACAGCAACTTTGAAAACTGCTTGCAGATTTGAAATGGAAACAATAAATATGCTTTTAGTGGTGTGCACTCTTTGGAGGTATTTAATATTTTATAAAGTATTTGGACAAAAGAACCCAGTGAAGGAAACTGTCGTTTGCCTATTAGTCTGCCTGTTTTATCAGAAAAGATGAGATTTCAGAAGGATGTGGCAATTTAGTTTCTTGGGTTTTCATACACCTGAGCTCTCCTAGGGAAACAGTAAGAAAAGTTAATGCAAATGGGGAAATTTTCCCCCAGACCTGAACCCATAGGTATGCTTTCCAGTTGATGAACTTGTAATTCTTCCTATAACTCGGCTTGCTACTCACTGAGGTTAGGGCTCCAAGGATCCACTTACTTTGATGCACTCTGATTGTAGTCTTGGAACATAGTTTTATAATATTAAAATTCAGGAAAATATGGCTGATATGCTGCTGAAGGAAGAAACCCAACCACTCCAAACACTTAAACACATTGGTTACAATATAACAAAATATTTAAAAATATATGCCAATCTTGAAAGCAAGAAGGGAAAAAGCTCAGTTATGGAAAAATGAAGAAGGAACTGAAAGCCAGAGCAGTGAGTGGGTGGGAGCTGAAACTGAATGGTCCACACGGGTGTTGGAAAAAAGGTATATTCTGTAAGGCTGGGATTTTATAAGCCTGAGCAGGACTGGAGATGAGGCCTGAGGCCTGTAGGTGGTGGAAAGATACAGTGGCTGCCTGCAAAAAGCCAGTGTGAAGGCAGAAATCTAGGATGACCCCAAATGACCCTCACCCTTCGATTATGGGTAGGACTTGTGAATATTAGTCCTGTGATGAGGTTATTTATACGGCACGGTTGACTTCATGAAAGCAAGATTTAAAAAGGGCTAATTACATGTGCCCTTTAAAAGCAGATTCTTCTTCAGCGGATGGGAGAAAAGGCAGGCAGAGAGATTCAAAGAGTGAGAGAGATTTGACAGAAGTAGACTCTCCATTGCTGAGATGGAGGGAACCAAGAGAGGCCACTAGAAGCAGAAAGAGGTCCCCGGCCAACAGCCAGCAAGAAAATGGGGACTTTGGTCCTACAATCACAAGGAACTGAATTCTGCTAGTAATAGGAATGAGCTTGGAAAAGGACCCCATGGTCCAAATGAGAATGTAGCTGGCGGACAGTTTGATTTTAGTCTAAGCAGAGAAGCCAGTCTTACTGTGCCAGACTTCAGACTGCAGAACTGTGAGTTAATAAGTGGGTGGGTAAGCAACTGTAATTTGTTATGCAGCAAAGGAAAATTAATAGTGTCAGGAATACCTAAAATGGAGGTAAGAGCGATTGCCCTGGTTCAAGGTGAGACCTCAGCACTGTCCCTCCAGAGACCATCCTTGGCTAGAGAAATAATATCTGAAAGAAACTGGGACGCCACACATAGGGCATGCACATGTGAGGTCTGAATTTGCATCATCTACTTGGTTTGGAAATTCTGAACCAAGAAATTAACATAGAAACTAGTCTGAAAATGAAAGAAGTACAGGGCTTCATTTAGGGGTCAGCAAACTTTTTCTGCGAAGGACCAGATGGTAAATATTTTAGGCTCTTGGGGCCATATGGTCTCTTGTTGCAACTATTAACTCTGCTGTTGCAGCATGAAGGCAGCCAGAGATGATACAGAAATGAATGAGCCTGACCGTGTGCCAAGAAAACTTTATTACCAAATGAATAGTGAGCTAGCTTTGGCCCACAGGCTGTAAGTTTGGGACCCCTGCTCTAGTAGAGGAAAGGGTGATGTTTTCTTCCCCCGGGAATGTGAGACTACCACTGAGGCTCCTGATGGAGATAGGGATGATCTCATGGTGACACAGGACCAGTGTATCCTATCAGACATGTACAGTAGTCTACTTGACATTTCCATTTGGAAATTGTATGTGTACTCTGTGGTGCAAATACATATGAGCAAAAAGATAAAACATTATCTTTTGCTCCTTTAGATTTCCCCTATATTGGGTTATTTACCCTTGATCAACTCTAATTTTGTATTTGTGCTTTCTCCCTATTTTCCTGATTGGGCCAGTAAGTGTTTTTATTTATTTTAATATCTTTCCCAAAGAATCAGCCCTTGGATTCATGTTTCTCATCCTGTGATGCGAATGCCGAAGAAGCCGCCGTGACAACGGAACTTACAAGGAGTAAGAACCGGGCTGGCCTGGGCTGAGCGTGGTTCCTGAGGCGGCGGAGCGAGTGGGAGGGCGGGCAGGCTGCCTGCATTCAGGTTCCGGCTCTGCCGCCTTCCGGCTGGGTGACTCACACGGTGGGCTCAGTTTCCTCACCCGAGAACGGGGACATGATACTAGTGCCCACCTCATAGGGTTGTTGTAAGGAGCAAATGGGTTAATGCCTACAAATACCTGATGATATGCCTAACACCTCATCAGTGCTCAATAAATTGTACCCATTTTAACTATAGGGACAGTTTTGAGAATTGTAATTATGGGCCTGCTTCCTAGGACCACCCATCCTAGGTACTCTGGAAGCAGAGATGACATCAAGAGGATGGGAACACTATGTAAACAGAGAGGCCAAGAAGCACAGGAAACTGGGTATGCAGGAAACTGGTACCCAGCCCTGCATGCCTCACGGGCTCTGAGGACACATCTGAGATTCACAATGAGAATGTAGGGTCTGGAGAAATGAGTCAAGTACACACCATGTGATCTGTTTTTAGCAAGGAGATTAGTCAATACTTGGGAAACTGTCTGCCAAATCTAGGGAACCTAAAGGAACATAGGTCTCAAGTAAATTTTGTTTCTCCGTAAGATTTACTTTGCTTGGAATCTAGGCAGTTAGCAGACAGAAGCAGGAATTCTGCTGAGAGGTGCTGCCTTCTAGAGAGGTCTGAGTGAGGTTGTTTCTGGAATTTGTAGCTAGACAAAAGTTGATTGAACTGGAGTCCCCTTCTCCACTCTTTCAATGGGGGTCTGTCCACTGCCAGACATGCAGATAGATTTCCAGAGAATTACTCAAAATATTCTCTTAAGTAGAACAAAGTTCTATCAGATGGAAAATGTTACATCTCCTTACTTGGAGCTAACTCAGGGAGAACACATTACAGATTCAGTGTTCAAATCAAGTATTAACTTGGGCTACTCTGATAATCTGATGACAGCAAATGTGGGGACAATATGGCATTTTTTTTATTCTAAAAGCATTACAGAGATGAACATTTCATACTTAAAAATTAATGGGGATATTCAGGAATAGAACACTCTTGATATATTAATTTTCTGTCTAATTGGGAATTAACCAAAGAAGGTAACCGAGTCTTTTTTTTTAAGAATAGAGTCTCTCAGCCTTGTCCCTCTGGAAATGAGCCCTTAGTAAAGACCAGCAGATGTGAAGGGCATAGGAAGAAGCTGGCTGAACGGATAAATACTGGGTTTTGGCAGCCCAGAGGTGCCATGCTCAGTTGGACGAGGAGAGCAAAAACATTTCCCTCTCCTTCCTGGGCCAGGAGCCCATCCGTCAGACAGAACGGACACAAACGCACTTCATACCTTTCTGGCCCCTTTCCTGTAATGATCTAGTATTCCTTCCCGTGGAGGTCACATGCTGACCAACTGCCCCCAAAGGCACCCCATTTAGGCTGGTCCCCGAGACCTGAGGGCCACACGCTCTTTTCTCTTAGTGTAGCTGCTCTCGCAGGGATGCTGGGAGACAGGAGGCTGCTTGGCCTAACTTATACTAGGGCGTAAGTGGCTCCTGACTTCTAACTCAGGGAGACCTGTTCGTTCATATTTTCCAGAGGATGCTTGTTAGCACATACTGGAAAGAGGGAGGGGAAGTGAGGGAGGAAGGAAGGGAGGGGAGGGAGGAAGGAATTTATTACTTAAACTAAGGCAGTGTGACAAATGCAGTGAGTCCACTTCAGAGTCCTCAGTTTCTTTAAAAGTCCAGTTTTCCCCTTTCCATTCCTGCAGAGTCCCTAGTCAGAGCAGAGGTGTGGATGTCAGACTGGGTGGGGGGGTCTCTGAGAGCTGTTGTCACATATAAATTGACTACATGTCAGGCATCATGTCAGGACCCTCGTATATCAGAACAGCCTAGAGCTTGGGACCAGAAGGTCTAGGGAATTCACTGTGTGTGCCTTCTCTGTCTATAAATATGAAACCACTTTTATCTTTACCTTGGACATAGGAAAACTCCTTTATTGCAAGACCCTGACTTATTCCCTTACCTCTCCACACCCCCCAAATTAGCTTTCTGAACTATGAGCCATATGATTGGTCTTTGAGTGGAGAGCAAATGTGTCCTATTACTACAGCTAAGGAGTGGCTCCCTAATAAGAAGAGTCTCTTCTCCTGAAGGCGGGCATCCCCTAGGAGGTCCACTGGAGACAAGTGACAACAGGATTTCCAGAGCAACAGTAGGTCACAGCAGGGTGGGGTGCCACCTCGCAGCATGGACCTTGTGCCCTGAAGCTGGGTGTGGGGTCACAAAGAGTCAGCAGTTTCAGCACTCTTACACATGGCCATCCTAACTAAAAGCTTCTAGAATCCTCTGCAACCTGACACTGGTGGCTTTGGCAGAAGATGAGGTCATTTTCTAAAGCACAGGGGCATGACTGAGCTTGTAAATCCGAGCCCTGGTGGCACAGGTGTTGCAAGGCCATTCGTCTTCCCCATTCTCACTCCAATGGAATGTTTAGACTGTCTGTGAGTTAGAGCGAGGGAGGAAGTGTGGCCCGGTGGGCAGGGAAGCATAACGTCCCCGGAGGCCCTGTCAGACAGCGTTCTGTATGTTCATTCACAGGCAAAAGAAAACAAGCCTTCATTCAAAGAGCAAGAGGAATGCAGGGTTATGATTTGACACACTGGAGGTCAGGAGGCTTTTAATTAAAATGAATTCCAGTAACCCTGGGCTCATTATCTTGAGGCTGTCCTAAGGCAAGAGCTGGAACAGTGAGGACAACTTTCATTAAGAGGGAGGCCCGCTTGTACCATGTGACAACTACCTTTTGTAACAGTCTTGGGAAATAGTCTGCACTCTACCAACTGCAACAGTATTATGGACACCAGGGAATTTGAAAATGGAAACTCTCAAATCCCCGCCTGGCTTTAACCCAGAGAAGCGCCATCAACCCAGCAAACAGACTGAGCCCATTTAGGCCCTGCTGGGAGCTGCCGCGTGGGCTCTGCACAGGCAGCTGCCCTGAAGCACCGTGCTGGCCTGGGGTGGGCAGGAGAGGCGGGTGGTGGCCCAGGAGGGTAGCCTGAGGACATACGAAGCCCAGGATAGGCTCTCTCCTCCTGGTAGCATCCTCAGTGGTCCACACCGCAGGCCCTCTTCAGGAGGAATGCTTTTACAGGGCCTGGACTGCTTCTGGGAGCTGCAGCCACGTGGCTCACCAGCCGTGTGGTCCCATGAAACCCACGGCCATCTCTGGGAGCAGGTTTGCACCAGCAGAGTGAGGCAACCAGGACGGTGGGGGCGGGCTGAGGCTCACCCAGGACAGCATATCTGAAGTGCCTGCACATGCCTGGCACCAAGCACTCAGGCACCACGGAGATCTGCCTGCGTCAAAGGTCCTCCCTACCAGGAAGCTGCCCTAAAATCCTTTTTGAAGCCAAGTCAGGGTACAAATAACAGGTTTTTCTGAGAAATTTCTGAATAGGAATTATTAGCCAGCACAAAAGTGAAAACCTGGAGCCTCATAAAGATGGTTATCATAGAGCACATGCACTTCACCCTCCCTGGGAGAGGAACAAAGCTGCAGACATTGTGCTCAGACACAAGATGAGAGGCAGATTGCAAGCAGAGCCTCATGTGGGTTCAGCTCTGCCCTAGGTTGTCCCTCTGTGAAGAAAGACCAACAGCACGGCCTCAGGGTGAGGAAGAGACCACGCCCTGCAGCCCCCACCTGACCATCTTCCAGGGCTTCTGGCTCCCTGGACCTCCAGGGATGGGGCGCCCACAATGACACTCGCTCTCTGGTTCTGGAGTGTGGCTAAGCAGGCAGTGCCTGATCTCCGTATAGGCCTTGCTTTCCCTTTAACTCACAGGGTGTCCCTGGACACACACTGGACCCCAATACTCCAGATGGGATGTGGCTTACAGTGGCTTCCCAGGGTTCTAGGGGGGCATCTTACTTGGTGGGAACAGAGCAAGGGGCTTCTTTTCCTTTCTGGATTCATTTTCTGCATCTCCCCCTTTCTCCCCTGGCCTGTTGAGCACAGAGCAGGCGTGGACAGTGACATTTTGCTTGGGGTGCTCAGGGGCAGGCCAGACTCAGACTGGCTGGGCGTTTTGTAATAAGAAATGGGCCCTGGGTAGGAGCTGAGGGAGGGTCTCTTAGAGCATGCAGGGCTCAAGGTGGGTGGGAAGGCTGAGGAGGAAGGGACCAAGGTGGGTGGACGAGGCCAGCAGCGGCTTCCACTCGTTTCCACCAGAGGGACTGCACCACCAGCCTCACTTGGGGGCCTCGGGCTGGAGGTGGGGCAAGGGGGCAGCAAGGCAGCCAAGAAGGGCCAGGGGCGTGAAGGGCACCCAATCTCAGGTGGCCCTGCTATGTGTCAGGCGCCCACTAGAGCTGAGCATGCATACATGCCAGAGGCTGTCTGACTTCTGTCTCTCTGGGAACACAGGGCCCAAGGAGCCCCTCAGCCACCTAGCGGGCAGGGCCATGGGCTAGCGTGGAGCAGGGCCCAGCACTGGGCAAGCTGCACAGGCAGCCCACAGAAGGAGGAGCTGACAAAAAGGAGGGTCACGCTGGGTAAAAAAAGGGAACTCTTTGTTGAGATACAGTGCCTAGCTTCAGATACTGACATAATTCATGTATACTATGTGAAATGGGGGTGGGGGGGGCTGGACAAGTGGGGGATGGGGAGGTGTACACACCTGTGCACAGGGAATTGCATCTCAGGAGTGCACCCCAGGCTCATGAGTATGGTCCATATCACCAGGGACCCCACCCTCAAGCCCCAGGACTCCGGCGGGGCAGAGCCCCTTCAGTTCCACCATCTCTGGACCCCACAGAGCTCCCCAGCCCGGTGGAGCCCAGGCCACAGATGGGGCCACTTCCAAACAAGGCCGCCTGTGCTCAGCAAGCTCTGCCTCTCAAAGGCTTACACTGAAATGTACTTGGCTTCAGCCCATTTCATTTTAATATCCTTTAGAAGAAGGGTTATAAACACAAGGCCAGTGCCCTGAACACTTAGCAGGGTTGGAAGAGCTGTTAATACCAAGTTTGTCTATGGCTGCTTGGGGAAGCTGGCTAGGCTCAGGTTAGTGACATTCCAGGAGCCTGAATCGGGAGTACCTTATGCAATCACAATCCTGCGTGACTTCTAGGGCAGTTTTGTCTGCATAAGGCATTCAGGGAAGGCCCAGGGCAAAGGGATTAGCTTGAGCATGGAGGCTGAAACACACTGGCTTCTCGGCCAGTAGCCTTTTGTTTGTTAGACGGCAATACCGTCAATGGGCATTCAGCAAGCAGGCTATGGAGAATCCCCCAATGAGAAATTTTTCTCATTAGCAATTCTTTGAAACAAAACAAAAAATTGTACTCAGCACAAAAGGGTACTGCACAGCGGGGCAGAGCTGAGAGCCCTGCGCACACTGACTTCCTTGGCACCCCAGGGGAAGGCAGATCTGGTCCCAGGGGATCTCCTTACTTGTTAGACAAAGGTAAGTTCTAAATCTCCCCTTTCATTTTAATATCCTTTAGAAGAAGGGTTATAAACACAAGGCCAGTGCCCTGAACACTTAGCAGGGTTGGAAGAGCTGTTGGAGGCAGCAGAGGCCTGGAGAAACTTCAGCCCTGGGTGGGGTTTCTCTAGATCCCACTGTGGGGACTTCAGCCAAGGGAGGAGACAGCAGAGAGAAAACCAGACACCTTGACACACAGTGGGAATGCACCTTCCCCCTCCCACTGCAGCTCCTGGCTGGGTGGGGCCCGGCTCACCCGCGCTTCCTGAGAGAAGCTGGTTCCACGCATGTAACCCAGGACACAGGACACATCCTCTGAGCCTGCACTGCATGGGGCACTTGCTGGTAGGAGCCAGAACAAGCTGTATCTCATAACACTGGCCCTGCCAGCCCATTTTCCCACATTTGCCACCAAGGGAACAAGGATTCTGATAGCAGCAGCTTTCAAACAGGGTAACATGGGAATTGTGTGGGGTTTCTCCTTGCTTTTATCTGTTTCTGACATGCCCATTTAGATGGTTCGTTTGAGGCCTTAAGGGCGAGGGTGGTGTTCTCTCTGCACCTGTTCAGGGCTTCATGTTGCTGCCCTGCAAGCAGCTGCTTCGATCCTACAGTTGTGCTGCCCGTCTGACCTCGCTTTGCCTTGACTCGCCTATAACGCTTCAGTAAACTTTCTTCCTCCCGGCATCAAGGGGATAGACATGTCAAGGGTCTTCTGATTAGTAGAGAATAGCTTGTTCAGGAGCATCCTGCAGACTGACAGGGGCTTTGTCCATTTTGGGAAGAGCCAGGAGTGGAGAGAATACGGCTGACTGAACTTCCTGGTGGGGAGAGCTGACCGGTGGTGACAGCTCGTTTGTAAAACAGGAGGCACAGCTGGTCAAAGGATTCAGTAAGCATGGTCCTGAGAGCACAAGCACCTGCACACAGGGGTCTCTCGACTGCTGCCACTGTTGTCACTGTTGTTAATATTATTCTTACTATGATTCCTGCAGGTTTCAAGGCCCTGAGGTCTCTGTTGCTTATGTTCCAAGCAACAAATCCTCTGGGCCTCACAGAAGTGACCCCTTCCCTAATCTAGAAGGCTAGTTGCATCTGAACTCCCTGCTCCTGTGGGAAGTCTTCTTTGTATCCTTCCATTCTTACACTCCTATATTTCAAATTCTGACTGGCAAGTTGGCTTTTAGGTTGCAGAGGGTGAGCGGAGAGTGAATGTATGCTCCTGGACTGGCCCCTTCCCACTGGCACCCCAATCCTGTCTCTGCGCTGCCTTTGCTAGTCTCGTGTCCTTTGTCCCAAACACCACAGAATCTTCGGCAGGCCTAAGAGGGGAGGGACATGTGCAGTGCCAGTCCTTACAACATGGAGGTCAAGAGGTTCAAATTGGCCACTCCCTGGCTATTGAGTCCTTGAGGAAATTACCTAAATTTCTCTATGCTTGTTTCTCCAACTGAAAATTGGAAATGCTTGTACCAACCTTAAAGCGCTGTTGAGGATTAACTGAGTTAATAAATGCAGCGTGGTTAGAACCATCCCAGTATTAGCCATTATTACTGTATGAAGTCATTAAATTCTCATGGACCTTATTATCTGTATCAAGTAGGTATTAGTGCCATTCTCAATTTTCAGGAGAGGCAATACCAATACTATATTTAGACTGGAAAACATTCAGAATACATCTATAATTGGATTGTCTGATTCTGTAAATCATGCAAAGCAGAATGGCCCAATTTTGCAGCTGTAGGAAAAAACATTTTACGCCACAATTTCTTTTGGTCCCCACCCAATCCAGACATTCATTAAGAGCGTAGAGTGAGCACTAGGTGAGACGGTGGCAAACCAGAATCCCTCTAGGCAAACTTGGTCTTTGGGCCTGAGCCTCCTCCAGCTGTTTGGTAATCTCTTGAGAATAGACTCCCCTCCAGTTGTCTTGACCCATGAGCCCTTGAGAAAACAAGAAGGATCTGAGGGCTGCTTGTTACACCGAGGAGTTAGGGGACAGACCCTCACACGTGTGCTTCACATAGAGCCTAAAACATACTTGAGTTAGTTACCATCAATTACAAATTGTTTCCACATAAAATTTCAGATTTCTGCCTTCTCTCGTAAAAGCTAATCTGCCAATATAGGCCTGTCTTCCATCTGACAGCAATGAGCTGGAGCTGAGCAACAGCTGCTCACTTTTGACAGGGTTCAGGCTTCTCCCACTATCCGCAGTCCTCACTCCTCCACATCGTCTCCTTCATGTTACAGCCAAGGCTAGTTGCCATTTATAATTATGCCTGCTGCTACTGTTTTCTAATAACCACCCACTTCACCCACATTGCTTACTTAGTTCCTATAGACATTTAGATTTGTGACTCTTGCTTTTCTAGGGGTTTCCATCAAACATGCACTTGCACTTTAAATGTCTTATTAATAGTTGTGGAATGGAAGATTCCTTTCCCCTATTAAAGGAATTTTAGGTACCAATAGGCTGGTCAAAATGTTGACTCTTTGAAGGTCCTGAAGTTTGATTATGTGTAGAGTGTTCTAGGGAGTGAGGATCACAAAGGTCACCTGCCCTCTCTGTCCCTACACAGGCTCCTCTAGCTCTGAAAAGGTGCTCAAAGCCCCAGGAGAACAGGATGAGAGGGGTCTGCAAAATAGGACAGACAGAGTGATAAACACTGGTGCCCCTTAAGCCGGCTCTTTCCTGGACTGGAGCCCCTGCCTGGTCCAGGGATCTCTGCAGACCAGGCTGTTAACTTAACTGAGACACTCCCTGCATCTTCTCCCGCCCACCAGCCTCCTCATCTTAGCGTAACTCTTGCTCCCTGGACCCTAACCACAAGCATTCCAGATAGTAATTTTCGTCTTGCTGACACATTGGACCTTATTTTACTGCAATGCACAATTGTTTTTATCAGACATCTTGGAATACACACCTAGGCCTTCTTTCTGAGTTACACTCTGTTTCTGAATATTTTGACCAAAAAAAAAGCTACTAGAATGCATGTTCTCTGCCAACAGTGGCATATTGTATGCTCTGAGCCCAGGATGGTGGATTGAAGAACTCCCTGAGCTCGTGTCTCTACCTATTCTTGGGACTAAGAAAACCCGTGTGAGTCATAAATGGCAACTTCCTTTTGGAATCCTGAAACTGTAAGTGCACCCTGATTGAAAGCTCAGTCCTGTGAGGTTGGCATTTCAGCAGGCCAGATCTGTTGCCACAGTAGCTCCACAACAATCTTTAAAAATAGATCACCTTTGAAAGCAGAGCAGATTTCCCTGTAAGCCCAGCACAGCTTCTCTAGCACTTTTAATAGCTATGTATGGATGAAGACTCACTGTATTTGAAAGTAAAAGGTTAGAGGAAGGCTGAACAGGGATAGAAGTCAAAGGGCTCTGGTGACACTAAGAGTGGTCCAACGACGGAGGAGCAGATAAAGCCAGAGGCTCTCTGAAGGGCCTATGTCAGTCTGTCCACATGTTCATCTACCCTAAAGGCAGCCAGCTTACACACCCGGGAGCACGTGGGGCAAGCAGGGAGTGGGCTGTGCCCACTACCAACAGAAGGCTCTCTCACCGTGGTGCTCGGGTCTCCCAGAAGTGACGGCAGCACGCGCGGCAAAGTGTGCAGAGACCGCTGCCTCCTCTTGAGAGGGGTTTTTGCTCAGGACAATGAGATGGGCCTGTCACCACAGAAAGAAGAAACACATTTGTTTATATGCCTGGCAGCAGCAACTGTTCCTGCAGAGATAAGCAGAAAGCCAAGGAACTTTCTAGCAAGCTGGATAATACAATTTATGTGGAAGCACAATCAACTCTTGGAGGGCTGGATTTTAAAAGCATTGCATACTGAAGAGAAAAGCACCTGACACTGAGTCCAGACGGCTTGATGCTGTGGCCAGGGCCTATTACTAAGGAACATTTAAGTCTCGTCTCCTATGAGTGTAGTATCAGCAGAGGAGGGCGGGGGTGGGGGGATTCGAGAATTAAAAAGTGCTAGTGTTGTGCAGAGAAAGTTGGCAAGTCCTTGCCCACTGGTCAGCCCAGAAAGGGGGACCTACCTGTGGGGTCAGCAGACTCACCCACAGAAACCCAGAGCCCTCCCCTGTGCCTGACCCACCAAGCCTGTTCGCCTGTGCCCTCTTCAAACTGGCCCCAGTGGAGCTGTCCGAGCACCGGAAAGGGCTCAGTTCCTTGAGAAAGAAAGCCCATTTTAAAATTCTTTAAGAAAAAAACAAAGCAAAACAAAACAAAACCCTATGATCTTATGGATATAAAATAACAGTAATCCTTTCAAATAAAATAAAAAACACATTCCTTCAAATAACACAGGTATTAAATGAATAAGTAAGTAAAAGATAAAGTTACTACTCATCTGCCTGTCAGCATGTGGAATTTTAAAAATGCTATTAGTAATTTATTTATATTCATTCAATAAGCAGATACTTATGAACTGCCTCCTACAGGAAAAGCATGGGCTAGAATGGATGGACAGCACAGAAAGAAATGTGGGGTAAATAACGGTCATCTAATGCACTAATGTGCAGTGGTAGGTAGCTCAAAATTGATTGCCAAAGAGTGACAGGAATACTAAAATAAGACCACGAGTTTAAAGGGGAGAAACAATAGATTGGGATATGCAAAATATAGTACAACAACTAAGGTGTAGGCTGCATTTTAATTCTTTTTCATTTGTGATGTCAATATTTTCTTGAGTTTTTATTATCCTCATTTCATAGATGAAAAAACTGAGGTTGCTGAATGAGTGACTTACCCAAGATATCTCACAGCTAACAAAGGATGGAGGTGAGACTCTGACCTTGACATTCTGACTTTACATTTGCTTTTCTTACCACATCATGAATGTGGCCACTCCTGTCCTGGCCCAGGGTAGTAAACATCACTAATTGAAGCTGGCATGCTCCCCAGAGCACCCTGATTCAGCCTCCGGGAGCTATGATTTATCCTGGAGAGCTGGCTTAGGAGATAAAGCCCTACCACTAGAACCTTCTAATCCAGACCAAGCAGTGAGACAGCAAAGCCATAGAGACCTGCTCCTCGGATGACCAGTTCAATGTGTTTCTAAGATGGAAATCAGGGTAGACCAGGAAGTGTTGTCTCATTTGTCATATGTTACCGTCAACTGAGTTGCCAGTTCTAGCTTTTTATCATGGGTGTACTCCAAATCAAGATCATTGGTAATAACTTTTATTGTTGTACTAGAATAATCAGATTTTTATATTCATAATGCTAACAATATTCTTTGTTTTAAAACTACTTTTCTTATTATAGGATATAAATAAATTGAAAAAGTGATTTGGTGACTCCCAAATTAGTCATTTTCTTGATTTGGCCTGAAGCTCTGACTCAAAATGCTTCTCAAAGAAGTTGGCATTTTAAAAAGCAACTACATGCTTTTTAAGGAAAGACAATAGGAGCCACAGAGATAGAGTCAAATGACTGCGTGTTCAGGGTTTGGGGAAAGGAAAACAAGAGAGAGGAAAAGCCTGCCCCACCTCCCATGCAAACTGAATCCTGTTTACTTTGTGTTTCCCACTGGTTCACTATCTCCCAAACCACTATTTCGAAGAGCATCCTAAGATGTCAGAAAAGATTTAACTCATATTGTTACCAAGACTTTTTTTTCTTTTATCAAATGTACATCACAGCAGTACAACATTCCCCCTCCCCCTTGGTAACCACTAGTCACTTCTCAGTGTCTATGAGTCCAGTGCTGTTTTGTTCTTTCTGTTTTGCTTTGTTTTTATACTCCACAGATGAGTGAAATCATATAGTATTTGTCTTTGTCCACCTGGTTTATTTCACTGAGCATAATACCCTCTAGCTCCATCCATGTTGCTGCAAATGGTAGGATTTGTTTTCTCCTTATGGCTGAATAGTATTCCATTGTGTGTGTGTATGTACCACATCTTCTTTATCCAGTCATCTACTGATGGACACTTAGGTTGCTTCCATTTCTTGGCTATTGCAAACAGTGCAGCAGTATACATAGGGGTGCATATGTCTTTTTGAATCAAAGATTTTGTTTTCTTCGAGTAAATTTCTAGGAGTGGAATTACTGGGTCAAATGGTATTTCTATTTTTAGTTTTTTGAGGAACCTCCATACTGCTTTCCACAGTGGCTGCACCAATTTACAATTTACTGTAAATTGTAGGAGGCTTCTTATTTTTCCACACTCTTGCTGGCATTTGTTATTTCTTGTCTTTTGGATAGCAGCCATTCTAACCAGTGTGAAGGGATATATTTCTGTGGTTTTGGTTTGCATTTCCCTGATGATTAGCGATGTGGAGCATCTTTTCATGTGCCTGTTGGTCATTTGTATTTCTTCTTCAGAGAAGTGTCTGTTCAGGTCCTTTGCCCATTTTTTGTATCAGGTTATTTGATTTTTGGGTGTTGAGGCATGTGAGCTCTTTATATATTTTGGATGTTAACACCTTAACAGATGAGTCATTTACAAATATATTCTCCCATACTGTAGGATGCCTTTTTGTTCTGCTGATGGTGTCCTTTGCTGTACAGAAGCTTTTTAGTTTGATGTAGTCCCACTTGTTCATTTTTGATTTTGTGTCCCTTACCTGAGGAGATGTTTTCAGGAAAAAGTTGCTCATGTTTATATTTGTTACAAAGACTTTTAGTATACAGTATTTTAGATTGACCAAGACTCAAATTCAAATTTAAAAGATTTTATATTTTGCCTCCACTCAAAATTATAACTCAAGGAAATATAAAAATGTGTCTATCAAAATTATTTTCAAATGAATAATTACATGTTCTGAAAGTTCTGTAAGTTGCCTTTTGCCTTGAAGAAGCAAAAATTTTCCAAGAGCAAAAATGCTCAAGAAAGTGGATCCTGAAAGCCTACGGATCTGAATTTATCACAAAATCTTTGTAACTTCGATCTTTTTCTGTGTGAAATGCTCATATAAACAAATATTCAATATTTATTTTTCACTTCAGAAACTCAATCCGTGATCTAATTTATTATTGGATGTACATGAAGCTTCTAAAAACCATATGCTGGAGGGGAAAAGAGGGTGAGATAGGGAACCCAGGCAGTTTAAATTGTGCAAGATTAGCATCTCATTCATTTATCAAGAGTTAATTACATTACTCAGTTTGATTTATCTTAATTCTTAAATGCTTTCTATACACCAGATATTGGTGCTGACACTAGGAATTCACACACACACGAATCAGGCAAAGCAACCCTTCCCACAGAGGAAGCCCAGCGAGGAGAGCACTGAGTGCCGAGGTGAGGGGCTTCACCATCAGAAGCGGAGCAGAGAGGCAGCACATGCTGGCACTGGATGGCTGCAGTGTAGGGGAGGGAGTTGGGCTTTCAGTAGGGTGCAGCCCCCCTGCACTGACCTTCAGGGAGGAGCTGAGGGAATCAAAACCCTGTTCCTTTGTTCCTTTCTCTCCTCCCATGGTCAAGGCTGTATGCCTCCCAGCCAGAGGACAGGGGGGCCCCTGTCGCGGGGCACAGAGGTGAGAGAGCTGCAGAGAGGAGCCAAGCGAGCAAACTAAAGTATCCGACAGAGGTCCACCTGAACACCGTGGCTCCTCAGGTTTGGACAGGTTCATGTTCCTCTCTGCCCCCAGCTGGGCCTTATCATCACTTAACCTCTGTTACCTCTGACCCTGCAGCTCAGAAACCCCCTTGCTTTATCAGGCCCTGGCTCTGCCCAATCATGCAACTTCTAGTCCTCTTTCCACTCTCCAGCCATCCCTCCCTCCCGCAGTCCCTGCCCTGCCCTTCTTGTCCAGCTTGGAGGGCACCGCCTATCAGTGTCAATATCAAAAATGCGCTCAACTCCATTGAAGTATTATTATATGAATATACGATGAATACTATGAACAGTATTTTCTGAATATACTATTATAGGACTACATACGAATGAATATATTGTGGTGGATTCATATGATTGAATTCAATCTACATACACTAACAGTAACATACCATCCAGTGGAAAAGCAACTTACAAAGGCATGCACACATCGCATCACCATTGATTTTCAAGTTTTCTGTTTTGAGGCAGAACGCCTTTTATTCCAAACAGAATCTTCCTGGTTCTCTAACGTACAAAGCAGGTCAGAGTGGAGCTGCTCTCACTGAAGCAGGTGGATTGGGCCTGAAAGCCCACCCAGCTGCCCTCAAAAGACCCTCCCTGGAACACGAGGTCTTAGAGTGACACTGAGAACCACAGCTCCACCCTGTGTAGGAGGCCTACTTACGCAGTGGGTACAAAGGCAGTTAACAAAGCTAGTGATTAGATCACCCAGTCTTTCTAAACTAAACCTCTGTTCACAATTCTGGAACAACACTGTGTCTGCTAAGAGAATATAAATACCTCTGTTATATACATATGAGAGCATTTAAGGACTACTTTTATGTTTACTAGGCTTCCCACTTCACCAAGTCCCCCCCACATCCCCGTTCACAGTCACTGTCCATCCACATCGTAAGATGCTATAAAATCACTACTTGTCTTCTCTGTGTTGCACAGCCCTCCCTGTGCACCCTCCCCACACTATACATGCTAATCGTAATGCCCCCTTTCTTTTTTTTTTTTAAACAAAAACAGAATTACAGGAGTCATGCTTGTCTCTCCTGGCTTCACACAGGAGCCCAAGAAATGGACCCTGCTGGGGACCTGCCGCCTGACCGCACACACTCATTCTCATTATTTATTAATTTCCTTAGAGCTTGAATTTCTCCTCCCACCCTTTGTTGTCTTCAGTATCTTATGGTTATATGTTTATCAACTGTCATCTTGAAGCTGAGGAGGCGTATTTCATATTCCTAACTCTCTTGAGCTGCTAGCATATTGTACTGGGTTAAAAACAAAACCATATTGAGCAAAGGTCATTGACTGAAACACTTCATTCACCAGACCAATCACCTCGAGCCCTGCCGAGGTGCAGAGCAACTGCTGCGTTCTGGACCTGCTGTGCACGTCTGGGGGAAACCGCCAGCTCCTCAGTGCCAATCCAGCTGCCAAAAGATGCAGCTGGAGCCAGAGCTGGCAGGCTCTTATCTAACTGGGCCCATCCCCTTGGATTTGTAAAATGTGTGGTAGTTCTTGAAGAGAAAACTTGATGACTAGTGAAAAAGATGTTTCTAGTTATGCAGGCAGTCCCCATCATGTGATCAGTCAACTTAAAAAACACTGGGTGGGTTCTGAGTGTGGAGCCCCAGCTCTTGTGGGGGAGGGAGGGAAAGGTTTTTCTTCCAAATAATTAGGGGATTGCTGACTCAGAGGGAAGTTTCTTTCCCAGTAGCAAAGTGGAGAATAGTACAGAAGTCGCTCAAGGTGTATTTGTGGACTCAAACTGAGTTTATTTTCCCAGGATACAAGGACACTCAAAAGCCTCTAACTTAGTGACAGCCAGGGTCTCTTTATAAGGCTGAAGGCTAGCACCGGGAGGGACGCATTGATCAAGTACCTACTTTTGCCAGGAGTGGTACTACATGAGTTACATACACCAGCTCGCTTAATCTCATCACCACCAGTGAGAGTGATGTTTAGAGCCCACTTTATAGCTAGGGAAATAGGAAATGAAGCCTTAACAAGATTAGACAACTGGCTCAAGGTCACATAGGAGGTCAGGGGCAGAACAGGGATTCAGACTAAGGCCTGTGATTCTAAATTGCACCCTTTTATAGTCTAACATCTGGTTATTCAGAGAGTGGAAGTTATAGAAAGATGATTTTCTAATCAGCGTAGAGAAGAATTATTTAAAGAGTCAGAGAAATAGTTGTCAAGTAGTAGAGCTGGTGCAGAAATGG